ACATTAAATTAAATGGATTTTATTTATTCTCGAATATCACATGTCGAAAAAATACCCTTTACAAAGACTTTAGGATGCCCGAGGATAGCGCTTCTTCAACATTTTTAGTAAGTAATTTTATTTCTCCAAAGAAGAAAATCAAATATAGGACGAGAATATTGAAATTAATATGGGAAACATTTTTTAAACATTTTCCATTTCGATGCTTATTTGTTTTTATATGTTTAAATCTAAGTAAACAATAACAAAAAGCGTAAAAAACTAATCCAGGATACTTACTTTATCGCATAAATTATGGAGCATCGACTTTTGCACCACCAATAAAATGGCCACCCCTGGATATAAGGTAAACTAAGTAATCTGCGTATTTTACTCAAATATCTAAATTTAATAAACTTAAGCATAAAGACGTTTTTTCGCCATCACTCATACACGCACAAGCACATGACATCTTAATACTTGCATAGAAACTCCTTTTTTGGTCAATTTATTATTTTCTTCGAAACTGGCGCCCTCTTAAAAGTGCTCAGATATGACCGCATAATAATGGATATTTCAAATTGGATTATTTGGGCACTCAATAGCATATACATACATGCATACGTGTATGTATTTATTTGTAATATTACGGTATATTTGTAAATATAGGTTCGTTATTGCGTAAACATATGCACACGTGTGCAAATATGCTCGTACTTAAGTACATATATATGAATAGACGTATACCTTAAACTCATAACTACTTAAATATTCACATTTTATACACACGTTCCAACAAAAATATACATATGTAAATGCAACATAATTTTAAAGCTTTTACGGCTTCAAAACTTCAAATAATACACAAGCAGACAGTTAAGCAGACATACATACAGGTACGTGTATAGGTGAAGATTACAAGTAATCACACCTGCCCAAAGGATTTATTCACGCATTTCAATGCCATTCTTCTCTCATCTTTGGTGTTTGCTTAATTAATTATATTTTGGGTGCAAAGCAATAAAATAGTAGAAGTTTTCAACTAAAAGGGTTGCCACTCCAACAGCATTTTTCACGGCATATCTTAATATTAAATGCCTCATATAAATTATGCAACACTTTAAGTTAATTACAGGAAGGACTGAAAATGCTTAACGAAGGTCGGCTTCGCTAGTTTTGTTTTCATGAGTACCTTAAATGAAATTAAGAAATATCCGTACCATAAAATAATATAACAACTATGGCTTAATCCTAGAATATTTTAATGTTTTAAGTTTCCAATATTGTTACGAAGTATATTTCTTAATGAAGAAAGGTGAGAAACAAGATTTCATCAGGAAGGGAAAACTATGAACTACCAAAATTATTTTAATTATTCGAAGGAAACTGGAAGTACAGAAAATATCTTTTTATTTTAATTATATTAATTCTATTTTACATTATTTAATATTTATTTTTATTGTACTTAGTTAAATTTAAATTTCCCTTATTTCATTTTGTCTTATTTTATTTTTTCCTATTTTATTTTATTTTATTTTATTTTATTTTATTTTATTTTATTTTATTTTATTTTATTTTATTTTATTTTATTTTAATTTATATTATTTTATTTTGTTTTTTTTTTTAAATTAATTTTCATAATTTCATTTATTTGATTTTTACTGTATTTTAATATATTTTATTTCATTTTATATTATTTTAATTTATTATAATTAAATTTATTATATTTTATTTATTATATTTTTTTTTTAATTTATTTTATTTTTTTTCGTTCTGTTTTTTATACTTTATTTTATTTTATATAATTTTATTTTCCTATTTTATTTTAATTTATTTTATTCCATATTTAACATGCTATAAATTTTAGTTTATTGTATTTTATTTTATTTTATTTTACTTTATTTTATTTTATTTTTAATTTATTTTCTTTTATTTACAATTTTTTTTTAATTTGTTATATATATTATTTCATTTTACTCGATTTTAATTTATTTGATTTTATATTATATTATTATTTTTTATTTTATTTTTTTCATTTTGATTTATTTTATTTTACTTATTTTATTTTATTTAATATTACCTTATTTAAATATTTGTTATTTGTTATATCAATATGAGTGTATGGTTCTGGCGGAAACTCAATAAAGTTAAAAATAAAAAAAATGCTCCTCTTTCCCAAAAAAAAAAGTTCATTGCATTTCTTCCATCTTACTACCGGCATGACAGACAATAATTAAATTAACAAGAGCAAATGACAACAAAAATTACCCACAACGACGCTAACGAGTTCGTAAGATGTGTATATGTATATATGTGCATGTGTATTTGTATTTGTATAAAGCGCAGCGTACATCATATTGCACGACGGGCGACCACCTGATCCGCATTGCACGAATGTACTGCCATGCCATTGTGAAGGTCGTTGAGGTTGCCAAGTTCTTGCGAGAAACGGAATAGCAGCATGGATAAATACATATTTATACATGCAAATACTTACACGTATGTATGTATATTCACTTCCACATGCAATTTCATGCATGCTTTATTATGCATTCGCTACCAATTGCAACTACCGGCGTCATCAACAAAGCGCATTTCATATAAAATGTTTGTATGTAAATGCATATGTATGTATGTATGTATGTAATTGTGTTGTATGTGATTCACCGAATGCATGAATTACAATTTGGTGATTTGTTCACAATATTTTGCGGTTGGTGGCATACACGAGTACATATGTAGAATGTACATACTTACTCATATTAAATTGAGTATACTTATGTATATACCCGTTCATATCTACTTATAAATGCGCTTAGCTAAATTTAAATATTTTTTCTTCGCAGAACAAATATGAATGCTTGCATTTTTGTGCATTTTATAATGAAGATAATTTGTTTTGCTAATACAAAATCCAGCTCCTTTGTATGAATGTAGTCTTTGTGTTGTATTTTTTTGTTTACATACGTTCGTTATGACATATTTGCTTACCTCAAACAGCTGATCGTCGAGGCGACAACTGTTTAACACCTCTTTGGGGAATGCGCCGTTTGTACATACATACATACACACTTATATACATATGTATGGCTACTATTATGTGCGATTTCGGCAACAAAAAGTAAACAAAGAAGCAAAAAATATTTTGAAAAGGAAGCAAAATTTTGCTACTACCTGAATGAGGCAGGCCTCCATTGAATTTTTATTTGCTGTACTTTAACTTAAAGGATCCACTGGGTCTTGGTTAAATTAGAAAAATCTGTCTATGGATCACAGCTTCATTCGGCTATTTTATTGAAAGTGTGTCGCGACAGAAAATGATAGCAAATATTAATATAAGCACTGCCATCAAGAGATTTTTTAGGATGGTCCCACCAGACAGAGCTGACTCTGTTTTCTGCTTAAACTGGGCATTTGAACATAGAAAAGCAAAAAGTAAGTGTGAAAATCCTGAGCAGAACACACGTTTAACTACTAAGTGGAGAACAGATGTAAAAAGGGGTTCAGATAGAAGAACAAAAATTCGAAAAACCAACCGAATGCACCCTTATTTGATTTCCTTCAGCTGGACCTCTGAAAACAGCAACCCCGGATTTTATTGTATAGGCACTTTTACACATGAGGAGCTTTTATTTCATGTCAGAAATATACTCGGAGGGCTTGACCATTCCTGCCGAGGGGCAACCGCAGTTAGAAAACTTAATGTTGGATGTTGGTCGAACCAGAACTCAAACCTCGGCCTTCCGAATGGCAGTACGCAATGGCAACCACTCAGCTAAGTACGTGAGGCTCTATTGAAGCTCTCTAAATCCTTTTGAGACTCTCATCTCAGCTCTGGAATAGCATTGCTTTAGCGTCAGCATATTTCTTGAAAAATTGACCTCATAAACGTCTTGCTATAATAGTCTGAGCAGTATTGGAACAATACATTTCTTTCGCTCAAAATTATTTTTAAAATTCCCGGACCAATATTTGGAATAAAGTACTGATTGTCCGGTGGGATATAAGCATCGTCAACTCGTAACGAAGATCGATGTGAAAATCCATTACGAATTTTTTCAACAGTAGCTCGTACATTTCAGCTTATGAGTATTGGGCATTCTCCTTCACTTTAAGAAGATCATTACCTTGTCGAAGAAAGATACCACTAAAATGTATGGATCAAAGATCATCTAAAACGCGGCCGTAGACGACCAGATCAATGCTATGATCTGCTTTCGGGTCACCCCAAATAACAAGCTCAGTTCATTGAGCAACGTTGGCGAGTGCGTATATGAAGGTGGACGAAAGCTTTTGTCTTCACTAAGTGATTTCAATAATATTTCTTTCCTCTATTCTCGCTTGGAAAGATATCACAGATAGGTTGAGTCCATAAACGGTAAGCCGACCTACTTCGTTTGAGTGTTTGTCTCATTTGAGGGTTTCTTCGTTAGAGACTTCCATTTCTGATCATATTCGAATCGGTTTCCAGGCGTACTTCGTAGGCTTTCCCTATTTTTACACTTTAATTACATTTCAAGCATACTGAGGGCTCATTCATGAGTTATTTTTAAATCGCACATAATACGAATCAGTCGAGGAACAGTCAAGAAGACTCGAATAAGACTTATAGTGATAATTCTTTTTAAAATTGTTTACCAAATATTGTAGCTCTTCCGAAAACCTTTTATGCGTACAAGTCTGGAATATGTCGTCTACTAAGCAGAAGAAAGTAAGATTAGATTCCTAAAGGCCACTGAAATGATATGTTAGCAGGGAGCTCTCCTATCAACGACGGCATATGCGGGAATCTGGAAGCCTCTGCATAATTATTTCTGCCTGATTATCTCTATTAGATTGTTAAGGGATAGAAAAAAATTTGTGTACAGAAATGTTGCACAATTTATAAGAGTACATAATCCCAAACCCAACTGTAACTTCAAATTCTACTATCGTGGTGCTTAGAATGAAGTTTCCGGAGGGGAAAATGATTTTTAATTTTTCTTAAGAAATGTTTATCCACACAGTATTTTGAGGAAAACTCACATCTCACCTCTCTTTCAGAACTGCCCATTTGGAATTATGATGGCAGCTCTTGCTACCAAGCGGAGGGCTCCAACTCAGACACCTACCTCTACCCCGTGGCCATTTATAAGGATCCCTTCCGACGTGGTAATAACATTTTGGTAATGTGCGATACCTATCGCTTTGATGGTGAACCCACCGCCACCAATCATCGCAAAACCTGTCAAGAAGTTGTGAATAAATGCAAAGACCAAGAGCCATGGTTTGGTATTGAGCAGGAGTATACATTCCTAGATTTCGACGGTCATCCATTGGGTTGGCCGAAAAACGGCTTTCCTGGACCACAAGGACCCTACTACTGCGGTGTTGGCGCTAATAAGGTTGGTTTGCTTTGCTAAAATATATTTTTTATATAATTTTGATGTATTTATTCTCCGCATCTCAGGTCTATGCACGTGATGTCGTCGACGCTCACTATCGCGCCTGCTTGTACGCTGGCATCAAGGTGTCCGGCACCAATGCTGAAGTGATGCCTGCTCAATGGGAATATCAGGTGGGACCCTGTGTGGGTATTTCGGTTGGTGATGATTTGTGGATGTCGCGTTTCCTCTTGCATCGCATCGCCGAGGAGTTTGGCGTAAGTAGTGATTGCGCTAGTGGGAAAGCAATTTGTGCGCTAAAATATGTGCTTGAATATTCTCCTACAGATCGTTGCCACTTTGGACCCCAAACCCATGCCGGGTGACTGGAATGGCGCTGGTGCACACACTAACGTTTCCACAAAGAGCATGCGTGAGGATGGCGGTATTAAGTGAGTTGAGAAAAAACTTTAAAAAATTATTATAAATATTAACAAAAATTGTTAACTTCCCACAGAGAAATTCTAAGTGCCGTGGAGAAACTCTCCAAACACCACGAACGTCACATTCGCGCCTACGATCCCAAACAGGGCCAAGACAATGCACGTCGTCTCACAGGCCAACATGAGACCAGTTCTATTAATGATTTCAGCGCCGGTGTTGCCAATCGTGGTTGCTCCATACGCATACCGCGTGGTGTGAATGATGATGGCAAGGGTTACTTTGAAGATCGTCGCCCAAGCTCCAACTGCGATCCGTACTGCGTGGTGGAAGCCATTCTACGCACGATTTGCTTGGATGAGTAGAGTAGAGTAGAGTAGAGTGTTGCGCTCCGTTCCGTTGAGGGTTCGAAGGCTGGCGTGTAGCGAATGTAAAGGACCCGAAAAGAAGAAGGAAACCAAACCAAAGGCAGCGAATAGATTTGACAATAAATAATATTTCTTTTAATTTTAAGTTACACACACACACATACATACACACACGCACGTACACACAAACATAAGAAAACAATTACTTGTGAAATACAAAGAAATTAATTGTTGAAGATTTATCTTTGAGATAAGAAAAAAAAAATACGGAGAGGCAAGCAAATAGGCAGAAGGCGAAATACCGTTGCTACAAGGCAGTAGCGTTGAGCTCTTGTTATTGCATATTTGATTTAAACTTTTTATTTGTCATAAGTGAATTTAGCGATTTGTTACGCTCAAACACACGTACATACATAGGTAACCAATGGTTTAACTCTCCTACGTTTGGTTACAATTTATCTACGAATTATCTGTATTTACATACACGCAACACTTCTAATGCGAGTACATAATTGTTATTGTTACATCAACATACATACAAACATACCTGAAGTCAGTCTTTGTATTACCATTTAAATACAATTATACCCTACACACATTGTTGTTATTTTGCGACAAGACAAATGCTAACACAAAGACAAAATGAAAGACAATATGAAAGACAAATTCTGGGAAAGAAATTTTTTATTAAATACACAAAATATATATGAGAAACGAAGAAAAGTAAAAAAAAATTATTGTATTAGGAGTTAAGTTGTATGTTTCACATATATTTTGTATGTGTATGTTATAGTCAACGAGATATCATCAATACATATACGTGCATACATACATACATACATACGTATAACTAAATTTAGCGTAATGCAATATTATGTATTAAAGCCAAACATACGAATTACTAATACGATAAAGTGAAATGTATTATTGTTTAATATATATATTTGTAACTATTTAGCGGTACTAATAAAAAATAATGCACAAACGAAAATTATTCTATTTAAAAATACTGAATTTCAGAAAAAGCAGCAGGTTAAGGCCGGGCTCCTCTAAAAAAAGTTCAAAAAACCGAAATTTTCCTTCCAGTAAATTGCTAGAAAATACAGTTAGAAATAATATCGAATTATTGTCGAAGGAACGCAAGACTAAGAAGTGAGTATTGAAAAGGAGTCAGCGTAGCTCGCCAAGCAATAAACCCGGCAGCTCGCGCACTTCAAACGCCTTTTTCTCGGAACCATGTTTTTTCAACTGACACTCTTATTTTGAACCCATTGAACTTATCAACATGAACATTAAGGAATTTAACTCCTAAAATGTTTTTGTGTTGTCATTTGAAAAAATTTTTAAATAATTAAAATTGAAAAAAAGCGTAAAAAATTAAAAATTCCGCCATTTTTTTTCGAAAAATGTTTCAATGTACTTTCGGCCATTACTTTCAGTTTTACAGTTATTGTGTCACTCACCAACAAAAGAGACGTGTTACAGCAGAAATTTAAGAGGCACCATTTAAAAAAAATATGTACTTATCTACAAAAACTATGATTTATAAATTTTTTTTTTTCACTTTTTAATGAATAAAATTCGCTTGAAAGCAGCACGTTTTTTGAGGAACCTGGCCTTAATTCACGGCTTTTTAGTGGTAATATGATTATACCCCACATGGTGATTTTTTAGACGTGGGTTTTTCAATGAGGCATTGCTTTTTTCGGAGTTGATCTTTATGAGAGCTATTACTTGGGTTCGAGTCCTGATCCAACTAACATCCAGAATAGAAAATTAATTTTTCTAATTGCGGTCGCTCTTCGGCAGGGAATGTTAAGCCCTTCGAATGTATTTCTAACATGTAATAAAGCTCCTTTAAAAAATTATCAGCCGTTCGGAGGCGGTTTAGTATAAACTACATTTTTCTCCATTTCTTCGACGAACTGTAAAACGCACGACCGAAAATCGCTTCAGCAAAATTATGCAAATTATATGCATATATCGGTGTAGTAAAAATAGATCCATTATTTTTCATGAACTTGAGGGCTTTCATTATTTACTTTTCGTTTCCAGCCTTATTCAAATGGTTCCAAAAGCTTTTGGGCAGTCGAAACAGTGTTTACAAGACGGTCGGACTCGACAATGTCCTTGTATTTGTCGACATTTTCAACAATTGGCCTTCCACTCCGTGAAGTATATTTTACAACAAAATCACAGGAATCAAACCGAAATCAGCGCCATAAATGGTATTCACATTTCCAGCCGTCTGGCTGGCGCTTTCGCCCTTGTTGAAGAAAACCTCTAAAATATAGCGTATTTTCTCTTTGCTAGTAGCCATCTTTGACGCACGCTCAAATAGAGCTGAGCCAACCAATTACAATACTGTCGGAAAAGCTTCTAACGGAACCTGATCGGGCAAGCGTCAAGGCGAGATACAGATAACTAACGCCATCTGCTGGAAAATAAGGGATTTCTTTTTACTTCACCTAACTGACTGATTCCTGCTTATGGATGTAGTACCATTTGGTACGAGTGCAAATCACCTTCCTCGTACGAAGTCTATTGTCTTCAACGTTCAGGCCGTCAGTCCTCTCCCCACTCCGACCCTCGTCACCGTAGGTGTACACATTTTTGCACTGCAGTCATGTACACTGTCGTTTGCTTCATTTTGTCAGGGAGTTGCGGTATATTCCACTCCAGTTTCCCCCGGAAGCGGCAGTTTTAGGTGCTAAATACGCCAAGTCGGTCTAGGAGGCCTCCTTATTAGGGAATTCAATGCGGGGATTCGGCATCAGATGTTAGAAGTGGGAGGAACATTTAAGGTCCTGTAATTTCTGCTCTGTGACAACCAACGTATAAGCCATTCTTAAATCATTGTCAAATCCGTACGAGCTACTTTAGCCGGCTTTTTACAGCACCTTTGTTACATCGGTTTGGCAAAATGAAGCGACAAGTAATGCGCCGTCTATAAAGGCACCAGCGCAAGCTTAAATTCTCCAGGTAAGATAATCAGAGGTTATGAGGATGGCGAAAGCCTCCAAATCCATTGATCACAAATAATAAGTATGGTGATGCTTAAACATCTGTGTCCTTCCTTGATTTTCCCAATTTGTCATTGATACCCGATATGTGAAGTGGTGCGCTGCTTAAGCCGTGGACACCAGTGAGCAAAATAGAGCCTTATAGGCCGATGTCTCTTATTTACTCTGTATCGAAGCCAAATGAAACTTTGCTACTCCCGTCCTTCAAATACCTTCTAAGCTCAGCAGCTTCCGTGAATTCCACATTACCATCACTGCACCTAACGCCGTTAGCACAGGGATAACGACTGAAATTGCTACTGAAGTATAGAGACGAAATAGAGTCGTAAAATTGTTCGCCAGCAGCACCTGGGAAAAAGATTAAGGAAAACCTCCACCCATTGCAGGTGATGAGCTCAGTCTGCCCGAGTAATACCAGCACAATTATGATCTTTATGTTGTAGTCGTGTCAAATCTATGTATATCCTGGATGCAACATTACCACCCATTTAGGTATGCTCTAAAACCAACTCTCCTAACATTCCCGTCCCTCTATTCCGAAATCCTGAAGACAGCCTGTACGTCGAATAAGATGACCTTCGTGAGTTAGGCTAGTCTTGCCAAATTCTAAGCACCCACCAGCAACTCGGTATACGGGACCTGTGGGATGGCATTTCAAGCTCTTTACGTACAGCTGCAAACGAAGCTATTGTATTGGTTCGATGAGGACTGCCGTGTCGCAGTGTGGAGAAAACAAACGGGCTAACTCGCAACCTTGCGATCGACCACAACACGTGCGGGATGGGATAGATACCGAGATGTGTGAGTATGAAGAGCTTGAAAAACTGGCCGACAAGGCTAATACGATGGCTTACGAAAGGTTTCAAGACCAGAGCAGACTCTTGTAGGACACAAAGAGGTGATCTAGCAACCGATGCCCAGAGTATATTGAATTTATGGAGGGAACACTTCTCCAACCTGCTGAATAGTAGAGAAAATGGAGAATCCGGAGAAGGTGAAGTCGAAACCCCAACCGATAGAAAAGACGTTCCATTACCTGAACAAGAAGAAGTTCGAATAGCAATAGCCCGCTTAAAAACAGCAAAGCCGCGGGAGCTAATGGCCTACCAGCGGAACTATTCCAACATGGCGGTGAAGAGCTGACAAAGTGCATGCATGAGCTACTTTACAGAATATGGTCGGATGAAAGCATGACCGACGATTGGAATTTAAGTGTACTCTACCCAATCCATAAAAAAGAGGAGCACACAGTCTGCGCCAATTATCGTGGGATAAGCCTTCTTAATGCCGCCTAAAAGCTACTATCGAGCGTCACAAACTGATTGGACCTTATCAGTGTGGCTTCAGACCAGGGAAGTCAACCATTAACCAGATATTCACCATGCGCCAAATCTTGGAAAAGAACCGTGAAAAGCTGATCGACACTCACCACCTTTTCGTCGATTTTTAATCTGCCTTCGACAGCACGAAAAGGAGCTGCCTTTACGCCGCTATGTCTAAATTTGATATCCCCGCAACACTTATACGGCTGTGAAAGCTGACGCTAGACGACACCAGAAGCGCAATCAGAATTGAGAAGGACCTCCTCGAGCCGTTCGATATCAAACGAGGTTTCAGACAGGTTGACTCTTTGTTACTGGCGTACGCCGATGATATTGACATTATCAGCCTCAACAACCGCGCTCGTTAGCTCTGCTTTCTCCAGGCTTGATAAAGAAGCGAAGCGAACGGAGCTGGTACTGAACGAGAACAAGGGGAAATTTATTCTGTCATCAAACAAACAGTCTTTGTATTCGCGACTTGGCTCCCACGTCACTGTTAACAGTCATAACTTTGAAATCGTCAACACCAATAATAACGTCAGCCTAGAAAACCAACGCAGAATTACTCTTGCTAGCAGGTGCTACTTTGGCCTGAGTAGGCAATTGAAAGTCCTCTCCCGACGGACGAAAACCAAACTCTACAAGTCCATCATCGTTCTCGTCCTGCTATATGATGCGCATGCGGTTAGGAGTTGTCGAGAGAAAGGTTTTACGTAAGATTTATGATCCTTTACGCGTTGGCAACGGATATCGCAGACGATGGAACGATGAGCTGTACGAGTTATACGGCGACATGGCTTTAGTGCAGCGAATCAAGAATCAGCGGCTACACAGGCTAGGTCATGTGGTCCGGATGGATGAGAATACTAAAGTTTTGAAAGTTTCCGATGCAGTACCCGCCGATGGAAGCTGAGAAAGAGGAAGACCTCCACACCGTGTTAAAGACCAGGTAGAGAAAGACCTGGCTGTACTTGATATTTTCAATTGGCGCCAAACAGCAAAAGGAAGAAACAAATGACACAATGTTATAAATTCAGTTACAATCGCGTAAGCGGTGTCTACGTCAGTAAAAGTAAGAAATTCTAAACGGAGTCTCAGAGCCGTAACAATAACAAAAACCGCAACAGAAACTCGTCATCATACATTGAATTTTTATATTTTATTTAAATAAATTGAATTTTCCATTGATTCAAAAACACTATGAATTGATGAATTGATTTCAAGTATTTTTATTCGCAATTTCTTTTGTTTATTTTTAATTTATAATTTATATGTATGTATGTATTTCGTTAAAATACATATAATGCATACAGTAAATTGTTTTTATTTTTCTTTTTATTATTTGTATATATGTATGTATGTATGTTTCTTTGTCGTTTACTTGTATTAACACAATATTGTTGCTGTTTTTGTAAATCTAAAAATTCAATAATTTCGAATGCAATTTTGATAACTCTAATTACTGGCATTACACAAATAATATGTACATACACGTATATATGTACTAATGTATTGTATGTATATATATATACTGTTGTTTCCAATTAAACACATATACACGTATGTATATCTACTAGAATTTTATGTTTATAACTATATTTGTGTGTATGTGTGTGTAAGTATCGAAATATTGTTTATATTTATTATTATAAGTATAATATCGTTTAAAATCGTTGGCTAAAAACACTTTACAATATGGAAAAATGTCTTAGCATTTATAATATTGTTTTTTTTTTTTTTTTTTTTGAATTTTGCAATTAATTTCGGAAAGTTAGGTTATGTATATTTGTTTTTCTTTTTCAAGAATTTACTTTTACTTAAATCACGGGAAATGCTTCTTCTTTGTTAAAGTAGTGGGTACACATTTGAAAAATGTTTTGTGGGCAAATTTATTGTTTTTGGAAATTGTTAGTCACAAGTGAGTTGATTTGGCAATTTTGGTGTAGAGAATTTTCATTTTTTATTGAAATATTTATAAAGAATTAAAAAAAAACATTAAAAGCATGCTATAAATTAAGAAAATATATTTTAAAAGAAATTTGCAATTTTTTGTATAAACAAAAAAATTTCAAAAGTATAACAATTTGCAATACCAACAATTTTGTGCGTAAAACTATATATTTTTCTTTTAAATGTTTGCAATATTTTTAAAAATGCACTTTTCCGAGTTTAAAAATAAATTTTAGTTTAATATCGAATAAGCTGGATTTTCTTCTAATTAAATACTCATATTTTTAAATTGCTATTAGGAATGTTTTTCAGTTATTTTTGAATATAAATTTAAGGGCGTGACGCAGAGCTTTTATATGCATTTAATTTGTGTAGCTTTGTTTTATGTTATATTTTGTTTCCGTTTTCATTGTTGTAATTTTTCAGATATGTTCCAGTATTTTAATTTTCGTCTACTCATGTGAAATAGTTTTAATAAGCGTAAGTACAAAAGTAGCCAAATTTTATATTTCCATTTTTTTTTTGCTTTTGATATCATTAAGAAATAATAATTGAGTTTATTAAAATATACAACACTAAAATTAAAAAAAAAATCTAAAACTTTACAGAGAATGGACGTCTTTTTGAAAACAATAATTATAATAACAACAAAGGCAATAAAGCAGTGAATAAAAAATATATAATAATATGTATGTATGTACATATATAGCAAATTTGAATTTTTTTTTTACTTAAATACAAAAAATATAATTATATTTTTTTTTGTATTAATAAAATACATAATTTGTGCTTTGTCGTTTGTCTAGTAGTACAATATCGTTAATGGTTTACATTTCCTTCTAATTAATACAGGGATTTATAGTTTTTTTTACACTTAAAGTAAATAATTTCTTTTTAATATAATATTTTTGCGCTAAAATTATAATAGTAATAATTAAAATCGTCTAAGTTTTTTATGAATATGTTTACCAACACAATATTTAATTGGCAGTTTTTATTATTTGCTCTTAACTAAATTAAAAAACACTGATATTGAAAGATATATATTTATAACTATGTATATTATGTAATTATATTTATATTAAAAAAGTTATGTATTGTTTATTTGATAAAAATATGAGAAAAACTTATAGCAAATTAATAAAAAGGTTTTTTTGTCACTGACTCATATTGCACTTTTTTGTATGTAAATCGTAAACATATATTTTATTAAATAAATAAAAACGTTAAACGCAAAATAAAACAGCAGTTGCGATGGAGAATATAATAGTAGCCCTAAAGAAAACAATTATGCAGAGCAAATATTTTAATTGCCAAATTCGTTTAATATATTTTTGTGTTTATCATCATATAATAAACACATTTGCCGAAATTTTAAGCTAAAGTCGTTAAGGTCTTTTCGTCTGTGTATATACTTAAATGGTGATTTTTTTGTGTCTACCTGTTAATGCTTTCTAGCATCCTCATGGTCGCTGTTAATCAAAGCTTTAAAATTTATATATTTTTTTCTTTAGTGAAAATGTCTACTTTTTCAGTTTTTTGGCCACATGCGTTTCAGAAAAATACCTGTAATATGTATGTATGGATTTTTTTTTTGTTTGCGTTTACTAATTTCGCACACTACTTAATTATGCTTTCATATGAGGCACTGACTGCTGTAAAATGTGTATCGGAAATTTTCTTTACGGAGTAATTAAAAAAACTTTAAAAGTCCTCAAGAGTAATTCACACGAAGTATTTTTTATATTTGAATATTTTAAATAAAAATTAAAGTTAAAGTAAATTATATTTTCTGTGTTATTTTTCGGAATTTCTATTTTTGATATGATTCCTTACTTCGTTAGGATTGTTTCACAAATTAATTTACTTTATTCTGTTTTATTTTATTTTGTTTCATTATAGTTAAATTTATTTTTTATTTCATTTGATTTTGTTTGGTTTTACTTTATTTTATTTGATTTGGTTTTATTTCTTATTTTATTTTTTATATTTTGTTTTCTCATATAATTTTATTTTTTAATTTTATTTTGGTTTTTTTTAATTTTACTTATTTTCTTATTTTATTTTATTTTATTTTATTTTATTTTATTTTATTTTATTTTATTTTATTTTATTTTATTTTATTTTATTTTATTTTATTTTATTTTATTTTATTTTATTTTATTTTATTTTATTTTATTTTATTTTATTTTATTTTATTTTATTTTATTTTATTTTATTTTATTTTATTTTATTTTATTTTATTTTATTTTATTTTATTTTATTTTATTTTATTTTATTTTATTTTATTTTATTTTATTTTATTTTATTTTATTTTATTTTATTTTATTTTATTTTATTTTATTTTATTTTATTTTATTTTATTTTATTTTATTTTATTTTATTTTATTTTATTTTATTTTATTTTATTTTATTTTATTTTATTTTATTTTATTTTATTTTATTTTATTTTATTTTATTTTATTTTATTTTATTTTATTTTATTTTATTTTATTTTATTTTATTTTATTTTATTTTATTTTATTTTATTTTATTTTATTTTATTTTATTTTATTTTATTTTATTTTATTTTATTTTATTTTATTTTATTTTATTTTATTTTNTTTTTTTTTTTTTTTTTTTTTTTTTTTTTTTATTTTTTTTTTTTTTTTTTTTTTTTTGTAATTTATTATTTTTTTTTATTTACTAAATAAAAGTCATGAATTCATTCCATTATTTATAGCATTTTAATTTTAATTTTCAAATTGTCATATAATATTGCAATTTGTTTTATTATATTTTGCTTTTTTCGTTTTAAGACATTTTCATATTATTTTATGTATGTAAAAAAAAACTCTATTGAACTACATTTTGTAACTCGATACACATATTATTTCAGCAACCAGCACTTCTTCTAAGCAAAAATTCGTCGATTATCTTACATACGTTTTTACTATGTTATGTATGTATGTTGTTTGAAAAATTCTCTACTCGTTATCGACACTGCTACACGTCTAATGCCATTATTATATTATTTATGTATTTTTCAGTTAAGTTTAAGTCGTATTCGTAGTGTTCTCCATAATAAATATTTTGTAAGTTACTACTGCTTTTCATCTGCCATAATATGTTGTAACATAAATAATACATATAATTTTTTTTTCATAAACTAATGCTACATAGTATGTAGTGTATATATATGTAAAAGTCGCTTATAAAAACATGTTCAGTTTGAGACACATTTCGTTTCATTTCATTTCAGCACAGTATCAATTTGAATTTCCAACTCTTTTTATTGCTCATCAGCAAATATTTAATAATGTTTTACAGTAATTGTTAGGTTTTCTCTTATTTTTCTAGTTTCAGCGCATTTACACACAACTTAACGGTTAACTACATAATAAATATCATTTAATTTTAATTCAGAATTTATTCCTCGATTTTTTTTTTCAGTAATTTTGGGTAGTATATGTATGCAGCAAAATAGAAATATTTTCTATAAAAAATTTAAACATTCACGAACCAAAGAGCAGAATATACGAAATATTTTCTGAAAGCTTGCTTTTCGATTACAACAAAATACACCTATCATTTAAGTAAACGTGAGAATTTCTTAAAAATTTTGTTTGCCTTTTTAAATTACATTTATACCAATGAAGAGTAATAATAATACACAACACATTTAATAATCAATTGGTATACAGTCGCTATAACAAACTACAATAAAATATTTAATACATATGCATATACTGGTATATTTTTAATTATTGTTATGCAAGAAGCAAGCAAAATTCATTTTATAAATATAATATAATTTTAAAATAATAATATAAAATTATTAAAACATACAACAAAATCGCTGCGAAGCATTTAAAATACAAACACATGCAAAATGTTACATATAACTATTTTTATAATAATAATAATAGAAATGTGTGTGTGTGTGTGTTTCTCAACACACGCTTTCTTGGTAAATTTGGAATTTTGCACTTTTTTAACAATAGCAGTTTAGTGTCATTTTTTTTTTTAAATTAATTTTTATTTCTCTATTTTCCACCCACTTTCCCCCCACACATATTGCCTAATATCCTTTGAATATCAATGCGACAGCCTTGCGATGGTGTCTCTCAGTTTTCGTGTTATCCTTTCTCTCCGCAGTCGCATTATGTATTATGTTGTTGTTGTGAGTTCAGCGCTCTCACGGCGCAAATTCAATTCATTGAAATCAATCTCGTTGGATTCGATGGACTGTATGGAGGCGCTACGCAGTTTATTAATTGGATATTTGCCACGACTTTGTATGGCGGTTAGCTGGAAGGTAACATGGAAATGTTTGTATTTTTAGAAAATTTAATTATTCAATGAAATACATTATGTAGACTACAAAATATATATATATATATATAATACAGATACATTTATACTTTTCAACAAACCATGCATACAATTATTACCAATATACATTTGTATAGATTCGGAAATAACATTTAATAGCCAATATTACGAGACGCTATAAATTTTAAATGGAATACATAAGATTGAAATTTCTGTTCTATGGTATGATTGAACGAGTTTTGTATGTATGTAAGTGTATATGAAGTTAATTATTTTTTACACTAAAAATCTTGATATCTCGTTATATAGGTATGTGTGTATGTATGAAAGTAAAACGAACTGATTACTAAATGCTCGTACTATAAAATTGTTTTCTGTTTCTCAAGTTAGCAGCTTAAACTCAAATATACTTATGTAAGCTTTTAACTTTTCAGAAGAGCGGCTAAACCATTAATTAATTAAATCTACAAAATTCTTATACAATTTTGAGCGAGATATAGTGGCTGTATCGGTCGAAATGTGCGGCCGTGTCATCGAAAATTGGTTTCAACGAATCGACCGCTGCGTTGTAGACGGGCATAGAACAAAGTTTTGGCAGTACTTGAAGTCAATAAAAGAATTTTTGAGATAATTCACGTACTCTGCATTTTTTTTTTTTTTTTTTTTTTGAAAGAAGTTGCCAAGTCGTTAATAAAATACCCTCTATAAAGGTATAAAACACGCTAATAAGCAAAATTCCTTCTCTGACTGGTTTGAAACATTTAATAATATATTTTTTCGTTGTTCTATGTGATGTGCATTACAAAAAATTTCTACAATTTTTGTATTAAGTCAAGAAATATAGGCAGAGCAAAATTAGTTAACTGTAAGATATCTTAAATGTTTTGAGTACAATAACAGTATTCTTAACGTGTTTCTATTTTAGCGACTAAAAATTTTACAAAGCATTTCTTGGAGTCATTTTCATATAATTACGAAGAAATAACTAAGCATTGGAAATACCCTAAATAAAAAAAAAAAAAATATCTCTCAAATGCCACTTCGCTACACCATACTATGATTTAAAAAAGTTAAAAAATAAATCTGATAAAACATTTTAGATAGTTCATGCAATTCAACGAAAACATTTTACTTTCGGCAGCAAAATTATACTAAATTCCTAAAATATATTCGTGTGTATAGTCGAAATATTCATAAACCATGCAAATTATGCCATAATAAATATTCGCATATGAATTGAAAAAGGCATGCAGCGAGAAAAATTTTAGTTGTATAATGAAATTGTTTACTACCAGAGCGCAATTTTTTCGTAAAACTCTTCTTTTTTTTTGGTTTTGCGAAAAATGATTTTTTTTTTGATTTTCTGTTTTTGTAGAACTATAATGCGTTTTTTTGTGATTAGTACTGCAGCACTAACTTGAGTAATACTTTTCGTATAATGAGCAAATATGTGAATTAACTTCATTGGTTGGTTGTTTTTGTTAGTAATGACCTGATTTTATTTGCTTTGTTTTTAATTTTTTTTTTTGTTTTTCATTTTTCATTCTTTGTTTATTTAGCTTATCCACTTCCATGGTTCAGTATCGGGGCTTGTTATTGGCGTGGGATACTAAAAACAAATACACATACGTGAATAATTGAAATATTGTTATGTGAGTAGTTGAATTGAACAAAAAAAATTAACATATATATATATAAATATATGAAAATACCAAATACATAATTTTCCAGTTTATAAATAGAAGGAAAATAATAAAATCGCTTATATTTGTAAGCTTTAACGGAGGAAAATGTCAGAAACTCATAAATTGAAAGCGCAAACCTTCGAATACACATTTATACATATTGTACAAATGTATGTGTGTATGTATATTATTAAATAATTAATTGCTCATCTCGTTGAAATAACATTCGCGTGTTTAACTATTCACTCTGCAGAGAAAGGTTAGTATGCATGTCGGTATATTCCTTGCTCTTGCTACTATTGGACCACACAAAGCCAGACAGCGAATTCATAAAAAAAATCAAATATATACTATGAACAAAAGAATTTAAAAGAATAAGCAAAATTTGATTTTCCGGCAGCGCATTTTGAGTTCATGCTTCCATAGGTTTTTTGGGAGTATATATGATTAAATGTATGTATGTATATATATTTTATTTAATCTTAATTTATTTTTTTATTTGTTTTAATTTTATTTCTATATTTTTTTTTAATATGCAATGTTTAATTTTTAATTTATTTAACTTCATTTAATTTATAATTTTAAATTTTTTACTTTATTTTCATCCATTTATTTTTTTAATTTATTTCATTTATATTTTATTTTTATTTTAGCTTATATTTCATTTAATTTCAACGTATTTTGAATTTTATTCTCTATTACATCCATTTTTCCCTTTTTAGCTCTTCATTTTTATAAAATTAAATTTATTTAATTTAAAGTCTTATCATTTTTTAGCTTATATTAGATCGTCATTTTTGATTCAATTTTTTTTATATGTCTTACTCAATTTCCATTTTTTCTTATTTATTTTTTTTATTCATTATATATATTAGATTTCGTTTATTTGAATTTTTATTTTGATTTTGTATTTGTATTAGTTTTATTTTTATTTTTTTTTCATCTTTATTCTTATTTTGCATTTATTTAATTTTTTCTATATCATTTATTTTTTTATTTAATTTCTTTTAAAATTAATAATAACATATAATAATAACATATATTAATGTTATAGAAAATTTCATTTCATTCATTTATTATTATTTATCTGATTTTAATTTATTTTATTTATTATATTTTTATTTACATTTCATTTAATATTATTTATTTTATTATAATTTATTGTTTTAATATATTTTATTTATTTTATTTTATCTTAATTAATATTATTTTATTTTAATTTATTTAATTTTATTCAATTTCAATACATTTTATTTTAATTTAATTTCATTTATTTTTTTTATTATATTTTACATTATATCTTATTTTAATTTATTTTACTATTTTTTTTAAATTTATATAATTTGTTATATTTTATTTTATATTTCATTTCATTCATTTCAAATTATTTATTTGATTATATTTTATACCATTTATTTAATACTGTTTTATTTAATTTGAATTTCATTTTAATTAAATTAAAAAAATTAATTTCTTTGTTTTATTTTTTTTGTTATTACTTTTTAAAAAAATATTTTCAGTTGGGAATCCTGAGGCGCGTATGTATGTATATGATTTTAGTGAAATTATGAGCCGTTCACCAATTTTTGTTTTACCAATTTTCTTAGGTATATACAGCAAAATTGTCAAAAATATAAACAGAATATAAAGAAAATTGTTGGAAAACTTTTAGTACCATAATTTTTTGTTAATACAAAATTACCTCTGCTTTCAGATCAGCCAACCGATCCTGTAAATCACGCACCTTGTCAGATTCATCCAGATTGGAACGTAATTCTCCCTCGGCTAAGATTTCGGAGTTCTATAAAGGGATATTATACAAGTTTACTCATTATTTTGTGTCCCCCGGAAAAGTTTTCGTTTTCCTACCTTCGTTTCCAATCGGGAAATTTCTTGCTTCAATTCCGCAACAGTCTGACTTTGTTCAGTAAATTTAATCTTTACATTCATCAATTCATCCTTCATGCGAGATTCCAGATCGGAGTATCTAAGGAGGCAGTTTTTTTTTTTGTAAATATTGCGGAAAAAAACAAAAACAGCAGTAACACAAATACCTATGCTGCTGCTCACGCGCCTTGTTGGCCATTTCCTTTTCGCGATTAACAGCCTGCTCAAGCTGCTCGCGTAATTTCTTATTCTCCTCATCCTGACGGCGTAGCTGATTTGTGGACACCTGCACTTGTGTTTCCAACTCCATGACCTGGTGTAAAGTGAAAATTTATAAGCAAAAAGAGATAAAGAAAATGAAAAGGTCTAATAAACAACCTTCAAGCGCAGCTCCTTCAACTCAGTCAACGTCTCCATTTCACGTATACGCGTGGTCATTAGGTCCTCCTCCAAACGTTGTGTATGCTCATTCGATTTGGAGGTATCAAAGAAATTTGTTAGCAACTTCTTTGGTGTCGAATCAACGGGCTGTTGACTGTGATCATTTCTATTTTCCTGCAATTGACGTTGCCATTGTGTGCTCAATTCCTGCACACGCTGTTTGAGATCCTTCAACGACAGACTAGCCTCGGCTTCGCGTAGTTTACTCGCGATAAGCTCATCTTGTAAATGTGCCACCGAATTATCGGGCGTAGTTTCACGTAATGTCTTTTTATCCTCTTCCAATTCTTCGATTTTCGATTTCAAATTACGTATTTGATCTTCGCTCTCGGCAAGACTTTGACGTACTTTGACCAGCTCTTCGAGTAGACATGAGACCATTTCATCGCGTTGCTTTAGTGCCTCTTCTTTCATGCACAATTCATCAATGGATGATTGACGTGAATTGTTCTATCGATTTTAGAGAATGGAAAGGGGAAGAACAAATTTTATATTAATCGGGTGTGTTGAGCAAGTGTGTAGAAAATAGGTGTGCATGCAACAATCCACTGCGCATGCGTTTATTATATTCATACGGGTAAAATTTATATTCAAAAGCTTTCTGTAACTTTCATAAAAATTAAAAAATACATATGTATATAAATCGGGGAACTAAAACATATATATGCGGATTGGATTTTTTAGAAATGTGTTATCACGTGACTAAGCTAAGCAATTAAGAATATGAAATTAGATTAATCTGCAAGTCATTTATGGGTTATAAGTAAAAAAAAAACTCTTTATGCATTTTTTAAAATGAAAATTTCTAAACATTGATAAGTTATATTTCTTTTACAACAAATATGAGCATTATAATTGTTTCTTACATACAAATATATTGTACAAATGACTAAATAAAATTCAGAAAAATAATAAAACATTATAAAATCAAAATTTTTAAAATATTTTTATGAACTTTCCAAAAATTGTTTTGCATGTTTTACATTTTTTTAAAAAGTATTCAACGATTAAAGAAGAGCTTTTTACAACTTTTATGTTAAAAATATTATTCTTCCATTAAAAATACAGACAAAGAAGTTAGCCATAATCTGTTAGTTCGAAGAAAATTAGTATAAATTTAATAGACATTAGTAAATAAATTAGCCATGCAAATATTTAAACACTAAAGCAAGCGAAAGGGATAGAAAAACATTAACCTTTATTTCCTTCACCGGCGGCTGCGCATTACTTACACTATCGATCGATACATTCTGTTAAAGGTAGGCAAAAATTGTGTGAGTGTAAGTTTGGTTGATGTTTCATTTTATATTTAATTTTTAGTAAACGTTTTTTTTTTATTCATGGAACGATTTGATTTTGTGTTAAACACCAATAAACCAATAAAAGAGAGAAAATAATATAAGAAAACAATTTTCAATTAATAAAATATCACTTGGATTAGCAACGAGTTTCGTGTTTAGGCACAATATGATCATTTTAAATAACGTAAAATTTAGACAAACTTCAATACAAACTTACATTTTCCTGCAAACGCAAACTTAAGCCACGCACTTCTTCATTGGCATTTTCCAACTGATGTGACACTTCGAGATATGAGCGGCGCAATTGCATCAGCTCTGTTTGTATTGCATAACTGTTAGTGAGAAGAAAGAGAATACACATGAAAAAAATATTTTTCCGTACTTCAATATTAAATACCAACCTAGTTTCTTCCTCTTCAGCACGTGAAACCTGCCCACGCACCAAACGGTCGGCCAATTCAGCACTTTCAGCCTCCAAGAGCTCGTTGCGTTGTTTCAGTAAGCGATTTTCTCGTCGCAAACGACGCAGCTCGACCATTTCCTCTTGTTCTTTCTTCTTTAAGTCTTGATACTCCTTTTCCATTTTCTTCATACGTTTCGTATTGATTTTGATGGAATAGGCTAAATTGAAAAATGCCTCGGGATCGGCTTCAACACGACCGGGTAGCTCTTTTTGGAAGAACTAAAAGAGAAAAAAGATGATGTCATATTGTAAAAATATATATAATACTAAAATAAAATAAACCATCCAAATTAAAGAGTTGATCAAATATATTGTTAACCTCTTCTCTTAATAATCTGCTTCAGAGTACTCTTCTACCTCTTTTACTTGTTTCTTCCTCCTGACACTCTCAACCGGGAGATTGACCTCCTACTCGAATGCAGAATCAATTGGTCTGAACTCACTATCTCACTCTCTCTCTGATTTTACTACGCTAAACCTTTTCTCACTTCACCAAACCATATTTTACCCACCTTTAGCATGGCCTCCATATCCAGACACAATAGTGTCTCTTTGCCAAGCAGAAGCAACGCCAGTGCCACTTTGAATATAAACTCCATGCCTTCGCTAAGGAATACATCCATTATGCGACAACTTAAATTGAGATTCAGTGTGGTGGTATAAAGTGTAAGGAACCAACTGGAAGCGTACATAGTTGTTTGGAAACCCTGCAAAAGAGCGTAGTGGAATTGAATTAGCTTAGAAGATTAAAGGAAAAAAATATGTAAATAATTACCTGCTGTTGGAAGTGTATATGCATTTCGGGTATCTGCTCTTGCACCAAACTTTCCAATTGATACATGCAGAGACCCAACTCCGACATTGACGGTTTGAACATGTCGCGCATGCGATGTTGCTGCATTATTTGTACGAGTACAGCGAAGGCTTCCTCCTCGGGCATCTGGAGAGAGGCGATCGTAAGTTATTGAAGTAAATATAAATCCAGTTTCGCTACTAACCTGCATTAGCAGCAAGCCCACAATGAAACCGGATCCCTGACAGTAGCCCACTTCACGATCATGCAACGAATATGCCTTGATCACATTGAATAAGGCCTCTTGGCCAGGACCATCCTTTTCTTTGAAGAAATCCACCTCTGGATAAGTTCGTGCAATATCCCGTCGGATAACTTTTTCGCAAGCCGAAGTGGCTTTAATGTAGTCGGCATATTGTTTTTTATCGGTATCAGAGGCGCCACACAGTTGTTGCCAAACAATGGCGCTATAAAGTAAAGAAAAGAAAGGCGAATGAAAAACACTTTTTTTTCAGTCTGAAACATGCAATTTATATAAAGAAGAAGATTATGCCAAGCCGTTTCTTTATTACTTTTGAGAAAATTTATGCGCTTAAAACAATAAGTGCTAAGACAATGATCGTCACAGGCGATCGGAAGAGTTCCTGTCAATGCTTTGCCCTTTGATAGCAAGCAAATACTAGACATTCAGGCGAACTCATTACTCATACAGGTCTGTGAGAGCAGCTTGACTCTCCCTATAAATATTATGTTTACCAACCTATCATGTGGGACTCGGTACGGATAAAAACTGACTGATGAAGTGGGCGCCAGAATCTATTGCTTGGAGCAGCCCGATATAAGGTTGATAACTAGGCGGAATTTTAAGCAAAAATCTAAGATCATATTACGGCAAAAAACGATCTCTGAAGTAGGGAGACAGTATATAAATGTAACTGGGTTCCATGCCACGATGGCTTTACGAGGAACGAAATGGTTGGTAAGATTTTGAAAAGTGAGATGCGTCTGGCAATCGAAGTACGAAAGACTCTTGAAGACTCTGACCAATGAGTTTTCCAATAGAGATCGAAAATGAATCCGGGTGAGCTAAATTGTCTTAACACCATGCAAGACTGTTAAGATCGCCCGCAATGGCAAACACACACATATTTTGCTCACGTGGTCAATGACAGACCACAACCTTTTTGCATCACTCACGAGTAGCATGAGCTTTAGTAGCAGTGAAAAATTACAAATCTACTCTTTTTCTGTCCGGCCTTATCTAGAGGATATCTTAAATATCCAATAACTTAGGTGTACATAGAACAATAGGAAATTTTAAAACTGGGTATCAAGGTCTCGATTCAAATTGAACTTCCATCTTGCAGTACAAAGAGGCAAAAGGTCTATGCAAGGCATTCAGCTAGCCAGTATAAGTTAACCTAGCCTATGGAAGTCGGGAAAATCCTACCAATTCTGTGGATGTAATCCAGGGCAGGGCAGAGATGCACTAGTGGTATGGGAACTTATTTCAAAGCTGACCTTGTACAATTTTCGTCAAAACTATTTCCGAAGTAAGCGAAATTTTTACATTATTGACGTTATAGCCATCAACTGTATGTGGACGATTCCCATTACTTTCGAAAATATTGTGTTAAAAAACGCTGAACGATTAACACCAATCATGTGTACTCGTAGTTAACCTTCACGCTTGTAAAATTTTAATAAATCATATCACACTACTAATACAAATAATGCATACAACAGTATACATGTGTGTGTGTGTATGTGTGTTTTTGCACTTACCGGAAGTGATGGGGTATACCACGACGCACCAAATCACGTACACATGGATTTTTACGCTTCAGTGCGCCCTCCCAATCGGCCAATATCGTAGCCCACTGCGTCCAAATGTCTTCCTCAGCATTCGAGTTGCCAGCTAAATAGAAAAAAAGAAGAAGAAATGGTAAATAATATGATTATTGAATTTTAGTTTAGAAAAATGTTACTTACACTTACTTGAAGTGAGACTAATTTGACTGGTGTCCGAATTTTTGCGACTATGTGTCGAATGTAATGAATTTAAACTTTTCGCATCGCTCTCGATGAGCTTGTTAGCCGCCTCCAATTTGGCTAACAGATCCATTTCGGATGATGGCAAATTCTCTTCAGCGGCACCACATTTCCCATCCATTTTTTTGCTACTCTCCGGTTGTGTAGCAGTGGTAAGAGTCATTGCCGCCGCCACACTGTTGCCTACTGCTGCCGCCGCCGCTGTTGATGCTGGACAATCTCGTTGATGCTTGAGAAAATACGCAGTGGTGTTGGAGGAAGATGAAATATGCGGAAGATTGAGTTTGCTACACTAAACTGTACTGTTGTTGGCGTTCAGCGAAAGTATATACGTCTTTTTGAATGTAGTTGCAAGCACTTAAGTTCGCCTAATGACTTCCTTACGCTTCGCAAGCGCTGACGCTGGCAAATGATGATTAGCGTATTTGATGATTGTCACAGCTGTTGTTGTTATTTTTGCATTTAAATGGCATTGACGATGTCTTAACTACTGAAGACTCCGTTGTTGTTGTTGTTGCTACTGCTGCTGTTGTTGACGCACTCCCTAGTAATGCAGGGAAAATTGAATGGTCGTAGACTCGCTGCCGTTGTAGGCCTTTGACGCAAGTTGTCACTCTCGAGCTTCGCCACAACAAATACACCAAAGTGTGCAGCTGCTGTACAAGTACGGAGTCGTCTTGGGACGCCGTTTTGCTGACTTTTCCTTTTTAAATTGACGATGACAAATTATAATTCAGTGACATGGAGTAATGTCTTTTGAGACATTAAGCAGTTCTGAAAATAGAGGAAGAGAAAAACTTATAAATGAGTATTGAAAATATTTGGTTTATTTAAATCAGTAGTAAATTTTAGGGCATTGTTGGTAGATTTCGAAATACACAGGGTAAAGTGGACGGTTTTTTTTTTTTTTTTTTTTGAAGAAACCGTAGATTTGCTTTAAATTACCGCTTTTCACAGCCTTTTCAATGTAAGTGGTGCAAAAACTTATCTCTTGTAACGTGGGTCCAATCGAATGGCGATGAAGTCATCAAATGTCAGCACCAGGTAAGACTGACTTTCATTAATTGCAAATAGCTTCCATGCCTAGAAATAACTTTAATCATTCAACCGTTGCGGGAGCTGTCACTTTTAAAGCACTCTTCATATCCCGCGAATACAAATGAGATAGGCAACCCAAAAAAAGCGCTGAGATGCATTAGAGACGAAGATTGTACTAGGTTATATTAGATTAGGTTAGAAGTGAGAATTTTATAACATGGTCTTCGTGAGAACACCTTCTTGAGTTGCTCAGCGGCCTCCATGGGACGCTTGAACTTTATTGTCGCAAAGTAGAGCAGTCAAGAGGAATGTACCGAGATTGTACCAACTCGCTCTAATATGGATTTTTAACCAATCGGCCATCTACCAGCCAGAGCCCGCATAAAAAGGGATAGCTAGGTTTTGCTGAGTTCTAGAAGATTCTTCGTTCTCACACGATCTAGCCCAGGTTAGAGTAATTGCAATCTCTCACGGCTTTGTATTAACTCAACTACCGCGGGCTTTCAAGAGGACCACCCAGGAGATACCAATGAGTACCTAGAGACATTCAAACCTTTCTGCTGTTCGGTGATATTGACCCATAAGCTACGCAGCCTTGCTGTTGCCAACCATTTCTTTATGGCACAGGAAAAACTCGGTCTTATAGGAAAAAATAGCTACATAATAAAGACTTTAACCGATACTAAGCCTCGCAACAGTAGATGTACCATTTTCTTGATTACTACCTCTTCTACACTGCCAACCATTCCGTGAAAAAGATCACAAGCCCTCTCACATGACCAGCCCAATTGCAAGGATGCCAATTTTCTAGTAATTTTTCCAGGTTATTTTTCTGACGAGGATGAGCCTTAGGTGCACCCGAACATTGGGTTGACTAAGCTAGTAGTCCCACAAATTATTGGAAGCAATAACGAAGGGGCTTAATAATTAATAATAATTTCACAAATTATTCACTCATCAAATTTGATTTAAAAACATAACAATCAGATTTGAGGAGCTTTCAACATAAAACTCTCCTCCTATCGAGAGGAGAGAGCCAAGGCTTATATCGCAACCGAATCTACGGTAAGCCTGACGACGGTAGAGACCAAAGTTGGTCTTCATTCATGGCTGTCTTCACTTGAGGATTTCCCTTAACGACTACGAAACCCATGGTCCGGATCAGGTCAAAGAACCGATGATGCAAGTTAGGTATTTTCTAATCATTTGATTGCATACTCATAGGTCTTCACCTTGAAGTTGATTCTGGATAAGCGAATCTTCAACAGTCTATGTGATTCCTCTGAATTGAAGGGGATTTGTGAGAAATATTATATATTATTGTCATTCTCTGCGTTGAAATACAGTTATAAACGCTCAAACAATTTCCAATAGATTGCGCTGAGCATTATTTTTTTCGTTCAGTTCAAAAAATTGTTATCACAAACTTTTTAAATGCACTATATTACAAAAACAAAATAATAATAATTCCAATTATTCTTTATTTTTTATAACACAATTCCAAGACCTATCTCACGGAGACCCAGCCGCCGTCTCTTTTGAAATGACAACTTTGACAAGCTCAAAAACTGATTGCCCCATTTTTTCGAAGACACATCATAAATAAAATAAAAATGCTCTTAATTACACTGAGGAATACAAATTCATACATTCATATAATACATTCTTGCGTATTTCTATCACCACCAAACACACCTTATCAGCAAAATTTGACCTAAATCGTTAAAATATTTGGACAGTGTGTTTAAATGCCCGCGGAATACAAGTACTCATACCTGAAGCCGTCTCTCTCTACACCCAGCACTGCCCTACCACACTAAAATGAAGGCGAGAACGTTTGTTTGTATGTTCATGGAACAAATAGGGTTATCCATTGCGTGGTTTCAAAAGTACAGGGCTGTATTTTGACATCTGTAAAAGCTACTACAAAAATTATTGTTTAAACATGGCCACATTACGTGATTTAACAGGAGATCATGTTCCACATAGTAGGCAGGATTTTATAGAAATTTCGAATATACTGAATCGGTAACCGGTATTGCAAGGCCACAGGCCTTGGCTCATTCAAATTCCAATAGCTAATGTAAGTGAAAATATAGCCAAAGAGCCAAAAGTGTCTATTCTCAACGTTCTCAAAAGTTGGAACTTTCTTATGGCACATTATGGCACTTGGACTTGCACCTAAATTCACATAAAATTCAGCTCAGACACCAAGGGAAGCCAGTTGACGTTTTATAACGACGTACATACGCCGATTGGGTGCTTGAACAACAAGCAGTGGACGGCCGCTTTTCGCACAAATTTTTTTTTCAGCGGCGTGCACATTTCTCCCTCGGGGGATATGTAAATGAATAAATTTGGGGAGCCGAGAATCCACAAGTAATTGAAGAAAGGCTATAACACCTTAAAAAAAACTCACTGTTTTTGATCTCTTTGATCTGGAGATGTGGTTGGACCTTACTTGCATATATGAAAACAAAAACGGCGATACTGTCATTGTCAACTCGGAGTTTTATGGTCGTATGATAACCGGACTGTTATGGGCCTGCAATTGAAGAACGCAGCTTGGAAAATATGTGGTTTCAATAAGTTGATTTCACGCGCCGTACAAAATGAACGAATATGGCTTTATGGTGAGAGAAATTTGCCGGCCGCCTAATCTCTCGTCTTGTCGGTGTGAGTTCGTCACCGAGATTGCACGATTTGACATCGTTGGACTTATTTTTGTGGGACTAGGCGAGAGACAGTGTTTATGCGGATAAACCTTTAGCTCTTGAGCACTTTTAAGCCAACATCCGTCAAGTTATGGCTGAGGTAGCGTAAAAAATATGCCGAAAAGTGGCTGAAAATTACTCCAAACGGCTCAAAGTTTGCTAAAATTGGTGAGAAGACTTTATAACAAAGAGAAATCTCATAAATAAAATATTTTAAAATCATTTTATGTAAGTTTATTTTCTAAACCGCAAAATGCCCAACCCTGTATTTTGGAAATGTATTTATTTTAATAATAAAACACGATGCCGCCTTGACCATAAAAGATAAAATGAAAAAACATCAAAAGAAAGCAATTCATAGCCAACGAGGAAAGAAGGGAAATAATTTCATCCAACAAATACATAAAAGAGCGGCGGAACAAAAAAAAGGAAATATGAAAAAAGAATGGAAAAATTAATGCAAACAAAATGCTGATACAATGTATATATGTTCTTATATATACATATATGTACATAATATCAATTTCAAGGAGTAAACAAGAACAGTCGGTTGGCTTACAAAGCAAATACATAAATACATACAAACCGATAATAATGGAAATTGGGCTAAATATGTTAAGTAGGCGATATTTTTGGCTGAACGAAAATTAGCATGAATCAACATTTGGATTTTGTTGTAGGTCAAGAACAGCAAATATTTGTTTAACATAAATAAGTAATAATTGCCTAAACAATTATGATTATACATACATAGATAAACAATTTAAATGAAAAAAGTGGTCTATCATATTTCGAGATTGGAGAACTACGCCCAAAGGTAATCATCGAAAAAAGCTTTATTGTTTTTCAAAATATTCGCCAGTCAAATCTTAAGATCACTTTTACATGCGTTTGACCAATTGTCGAAGCACTTTTGCCACACTGATTGAGGTATCCCCAACAAATGCGTTCTCAATACACCAACTGCCTGTTCATGTGTCGTGAAAGACTAGTCTCGCAGTTATAATTTGCGCATTGTAACCGCTGAAGTAATTTTTCTGCCGAGCTCCTCCTCTAATTTGTGGTTTTGCAACTTAATTTTTATTTAAATTAATTTTCCATAACTTTTCGGATGTTGGTGGCACCGGTATATGAACCCGAGCCTTCCGAATGCCTGTACGCAATGTTAACCACTCGGCTACCACGGCAGTTTATTTCTTACGCATGAGAATAAAAAGAAGTCATTCGGTGCCAAGTCAGGACGGTTGATGACTCAAGAAATCGAAGTTTCGAGCGCTGAAAAATACAGTTCTTTCAGTCGATCTATGACAGATCGCGTTGTCATGATGAAGAGTGATCCGTCTCCGGCGGTAGGTCTCAGTGATTTCTCGAAGAGAATTTGCAAACAGAATTTACTGTGCTGCGTTGTTCTCGTTGTACAGTTGCGACATGTCCAGGTTTTCCAAAGAAAAAAAAACAGACTTGCTAGGAAGTGCTGTCAAACAGAAGACATATCTTAAACGTTCTAGATGTACAAGCACTTCAAGGCCTCAACACCGTTTAGAACCCCTTCATTTGTAGCAGCAAAGATGCATACCCGCGTCTGATTAGAAACGGACGTCCATCAACAAAAACAAGGAAGACTCGAAGTCGAAAAGCTGCAATCAGTTTTCTGCTCAGCTTGCATTCCAGCCCTCTGAGGGCACTCAAACTACAATAAATATAAGAGAACTGTGAAGTGGTATTTCAAGCTACCTTTTTCCCGCGCAACAGAAAGAATTGATTTTCCTCAATGTCTAAAGAAAAACTAGCATGATAAAGTATTTTGAATTCCAGTAGAAAGAAAATCTACTGCCTACGTGAGTGGGGTGGGGTCATATACTGAGAATTGTGGAAGGAAGCAAGATCAATTTGCAGACAAAAAAAAAAGAAATCGGAAAAATTTGTGTCGGCTTACAGATGGTTTCAAATCCGACGCATAGTCATGTAGGATCCTAATTGGTAACTGGTGGTATCACCGGAAAGAGTGTGTAATCTAGCCGT